GTCGGGGGCCTTTCTGTAGTCCGAAGGTAACGGTGAGGTCCCCTCTGTGCTGGGGACGTGGGGATGGGGACACCTGGAGCCCTTGGCTGCTGGGATGTGGGCACGAGGGTCCCTTCTGTACCCAAAAAATGGCACCAAAATCCCTTTTGCACTGGGGATGACGACATGGGGACGTGAACGTTGGATCCTCTTGGGCACAGGATCGTGGACATGGGGCACACAGACATGGGGGCCCTTCTGCACCCTGAAAGTGACACTGATGTCCCTTGAGCGCTGGGATAACGGATGGGGGTGTGAACGCCTCACCCCGTTCTGCAGTCCCAGTCCTCTCAGCACTGGGGATGTCGGGGACCCTTCTGTGCCACAAAGATATGGGGTGGACACTTGGACCCCAGAGGTGACAGCGATGTCCCTTTGGCATCGGGGACGTGGATGTGGGGGACCCTTCTGGTGCCCCAAAGGTGACACTGAGGTCCCCTCGGCACTGAGGACGGGAACACCTGGACAAGGAGACCGGGGTCCTTTTGTCATAGGGATGAGGACGCATGGGGCGTCCCTTCTGTACCCCAAAGAAAGTGGCACTGAGGTCTCCTTGGCTCCTGGGAACAACGATATGGGGACATGGCACCTGGACACATTCTGTCCTCTATAGGTGGCACCGAGGTTGCCTTGGCACTGGGGACACGGGTATGGGGACGTGGACATTGGGACTCTCTTGGCCATAGGGGACATGGACACCGAAGCCCCCTAAGCACTGTCACAACGCTACAGGAACAGGGGTGTCCATGGGTGTCCATTCTGTACCCAAACAAAGGCACCAAAATCCCTGCGGTGTTGGGGATGAGGACATGGGAACGTGGACAAGGGGTCCTCTTGGCCACGGGGTGCTGTTCACTGTTCTGTTACCATTTCTGCTCAGAGGGAAAAGACAGAAGGCCCTGGTGGCTCACCTGATGGCCCTTTTGATCGTCTGGCTCGCTCTGTTGCTCGTCTGCCTCAATGTGAGAGTCAGACCTTTGGCTTTCAGACACTCTCTCTGTTTGCATTTGATTTCTTAGCTCCACGTCCAACGATACTCTGTTATGTTGTATTATAGCGTGTTACCTTGCGTTCCAATCTCTTTCCTACTAAACCAGTTTGTTTCCTTTCAGACCGCTGCTGCTGTTCTGTTTTTATGCCCACCTCTCCATCCTTTTCCCTGTTCCCCTTTTCCGGGCTGCGGATCCACAGATCCCCCCACCCCTCCCATCGCAGAACCGAGCCGAACCAGCCCACAGAGCGCTGACATGAGGTGCTACGAGATGAGGCTGAGTCGCTCAGCGGTGCTAAAATCACGGTGCCAGGAGGACGGTTGGGTGGGGTGACCTCGTGGCTCCACTCCAGCCTTGTGCATCTCTGATTCTATCGTCCTTCTGAGCCGCTCTCTGTGTCCGGGCCGTGTTGTTTCAGGCACTCCCTGCCCTCGTCGCTCTCTGAACTGCACACTGCATTCCTAGTGCTGCTGGTTTCTGAGAGCCTCTGCAGTTCCCTGCAGCTTACAAAGAACCATAGAATGGCTTGGGTTGGAAGGGACCTCGCAGATCATCCAGTTCCAACCCCTGCTCTAAGCCACCTCCCACCAGTTGCTCACAGCCCCATCCAGCCTGGCCTTGAATGCTTCCAGGACGGGGGCATCCACAAGCAGCTCCAGTGCCCCGTCACCCTCTCAGAAAATAATTTCCTCCTCATATCCAGCCTCAATCCAGCCTCCTCCAGCCGCAGAGTCACAGAATCATTAAGCTTGGAAAAGGCCATTCGGATCACCTGCTCCAACCACCCACCCATCATCCCCACGCACACTGAAATCCAAACCAAACGATCCTTAAGGTCCACCCCATCCCTTCCAACCGGTGCTGCTTCCCAAAATTCCGTGGCCTTCTGTCCCCCGGGTGGTTGGGAACCCCAGAATTCTGCTTCACTCTCCTTCTTGCCTCATCATCGCTGCTCAATGAACCCTGCAGCAGCCACAGCCTGAAGCCATTTCCCCTCCTGCAGTCTAAAGCCATTTCCCCCCTCCTGCCTCTCCGTCCCTTACAGAACAGCCCCATCCCAGCCTCAGGAGGGAATCCTGAAGCCGCCCATCACTTCAGCTCGTGGTTTTGTGGGCAGTGATGGAAGCTGCCGGCAGCTCCCCCAGTTCCTCCCTGCTGCCCAGAAAGGAAACAGGAGAAGTGATGCTGAGCTGGCTGCACCGAATCTGTGCTGTGCACAGAGCTCTGAGAAAGACGGAATTCATCCCGAATCCCTTTCCAGCACACACACAGATGCATTTAGAAGAAGTGATGGAAAGAAAACCCAACTTCTGTATTTAATTTTCATCTATCCTATCGAACCTGAAATGCTGGCTGAGGAGAAATAAAGGTTTTCAGGACGCTGCCAAACTCAGGACAGAGTCAAAATGTTCAGACTTGAAGCATCTTTTTCCGCAAGGTGCGTGCATGGGAAACACCCACTGACCACGGGAGAGAAGAAATGGCTTCAGGGACAGAGGTGGCAGCTGTACGAACATATTTTCAATACCAGGCTTGTCCAGAACAGCAAAATATTTGGTTCTTTGCCTTTGGGAGCCGACAGACCTTCAGGCTGTCCGTAGATCAGACTACAGGATGCAGAGCAAAAAATGCTGCTGCCTTCCACCCAAACAATTCCATGCCAGCTCGTGAGCGTTTGGTCAGTTGGGTCAGTTGGGTCAGTTGGGTCAGTTGTACCACCAGAAGCTGCTGCAAATGACAAGGACACGCAGCACAGGACCACGTGTTTGTAGTCCGTCCCTCCCTCCTTCCTTCCTTCCTTCCTTCCTTCCTTCCTTCCTTCCTTCCTTCCTTCCTTCC